CCAATGTCTGTGACTACAATCCAGTACCACAGGGTGCATTCTAGCCTTCTCCGCCTGGCTTCTTTCTGACAGTGAGAAACCTGGCTTCAGTCATTCATTTACTTACTTGTTCCACCCCAGTATACATGTAAAGCAAGTTCAGAATTGTTAACTAGTACCACCACCAGAAATATATTTACCACATAGAGTACAGTGTTTATGTGCAGGCTCTTTTACTAGTATATTTAGCCTTAAAGTTTCCATTCAAAACATTATTTCCCAAATTTACTTGGGTCAGTTCAATTTCCCCCTACCCCCTTCAGTGAGGTAATGCTATTCATTTATAATACAGTCAGATTCATTTGTCACAGACTGTATTCTATCTTGAAATCCCCCCAATTAGTTGATTTTTTAAAATTTGCATACATTAAAGTTCACTCTTTGTGATGTGTGATTCTATAAGCGTTTTTGACAAATACACAGGATCATTGTCAATTACCCCTATACCATACAGACAGTTTCATCACTTTAAAATTCTCCTGTTAAAAGGTTCTGAACACATTTACAATGTGTGTATGGCAGGGGTCCCCACACCAATAAGTAATTCTTGGACATCAGCTGGGTATTCTACAATTCAGCTCCACTCTGACACTATCTATCCAGAGATAGCATCAGATTCCTCAGGTTAAGAGCTCAGTCCCATAAGGCTGCTCTCCCCTGCCACTCCTACTTCAGAGGCCAATCCTAAGTCCAGGTTGTCACCTGTACTTCTGATCTACCAGCTGTAGATTGGCTATTTCAGTGACCACCCCTGCTCTTTGGGTTTTCTTAATTTGCTAGAGTAGCTCACAGAACTCAGGGACACACATTACTTACTAGATTACTGGTTTACAAAAGGATATAAACATCTAGATTAAAGAGATGCATAGGGCCAGGTATAGGGAAAGGATATGGAGCTTTCATGCCCTCTCGGAGCCCACCACTCACCAAATTTTCACGGGTTCACTAACCAACCTGGAAGCTCTTTGAAACCACTCCTATTGGGTTTTTATGGAGGCTTTATTGTGTAGGCGGGATTGATTAAATCATTGGCCCTTGCCATTGGTGATTGATGCACCTCCAGCCTCTCTTTCCTACCTGCATGTCAGGTGTGGGGTTAGGAGACTGAAAGTGACAGCCTTCCAATCACATAGTTGATTCTCCTGGCAACCAGCCCCCTTAGGTGCTTTCCAGAAGTCACCTCATTAACATAAACCCAATTTGGTGGAAAGGAGCTTGTTAAGAATAATAAGACACCCATTTCACGTTCATGGCTCTGAATTATTTATAAGAACTGAGGACAATAAAGTATGCTCCCATTGCTCTTATCACTTGAGAAATTCCAAGGGTTTGGAGAGCTGTAGGTGAAGCCCAACTATATATGAAAAATATATATTTGGTCATCTGAATGACCAAATATATATTTCTTATAAATCACAGTATTGCACCTGTGCATCTGCTTTGTAGTCAACCATTTCCCTATCCTCCCATCCCTGACAATTTGTTTTCTTTTCCTATAGTTTTGCCTTTTTCAGTGTGTCATAATGAATGCAGTAATACAATATGTAGCCTTTTGGATCTGGCCAGAGCTATTGATTGTGTTTTAAACTATATCCCTATGGGTTTGTTTGTTTTTTTAGTGGTTGCTGTAGGAATTACAATGCCATACAAGTCCCTTTACTCCCCTCCCCCCCCAATTTGGTAGTTACATTTTATATTGTATTATATACATACTAGAGGCCCGATGCATGAAAATTCATGCAAGAATAGGCCTTCTTCCCCTGGCTGCTGACACCAGCTTCCCTCTGGCACCGGGGACCCCGGCTTCCTTCCTCCGGCCACTGGCAGGCACCTGAGACCCGGGCTGCTTCCCTCCTTTGGCCAGCACCCGGGACCCGGGCTGGCTTCCCTCGGGCCCAGCTTCATCAGGAAGGATGTCCGGAAGAACGTCTGGTCTAATTAGCATATTACCCTTTTATTATTATAGATTATAGCATACTAGAGGCTCGGTGCACGGATTTGTGCCCTGGTGGGGTTCCTCAGCCTGGCCTGCGGGGATCGGACTGAAACCAGCTCTCCAACATCCCCCAAGGGGTCCTTAACTACTGGTCGGATGGTCGCTTAGGCTTTTATATATATAGACTAGAGGCCCGGTGCACAAAAATTTGTGCACTCGGGGGGGAGGGTCCCCCAGCCCG